CAGGAACCCAAGAGTACTAAATTCAACGAAGTAATGATCAGAAGAGAGTTGAAAGCACTAAAAGTATATCTCGATATGCCTTGTCACTGTAATCCCAGACGGTGACGCCGACACATCAACGAACGTTTTTGCAAGCTTTAATGACCGTCTCATAATCGGCCTTCTGCTGCTCGAGAAGCGCAGCAGTCACAGGCAAATTCATACGGATGTCCAACTCGGTGATCGCAACCTCAACACCAGCCTCCGTGATCGCGTATAGGTTCTCCTCGATGTTAGAAGGGAGCTCACAAACAATGAGATGGCCCTGGATACCGACACCATCGATGGGGACACCCTCGCGCTTTAAGTCCTTCACCAGGTTGATCATAGCAGTGGACTTAGCACCGGGACCCTCGATGTTGTAGTCATTGATCTGTGCCACAAAGTGAGCAGTAATCGACAAGTGAATCGTGAATTACATACGTAGAGCTTAGCATGAGGGTCGGCAGCGCGGGCAGCGCGGAGAGCGAGGGGGATGTACGAGGTGTTTAAAGTCTCGTAGAACATGGTTTCACGCCATGTGCCATCGTCGTTAAAAGGCTCTGACCAGATTATATAGAAGACCGGTAGTTGAAGCCGCAATTTAAACACACCATTGATAACATCCCAGCTGTCTGTGAAAAGGGTTGGGTAGTTAGCGGATCAACACAAAAACGATAACACCCGGAGACCTACAGCTGAAAGCAAGCCAGTCAGTATTGGATAAACCATATTACGACCAATATATCAACTTACATTTCGCCGCGGAAATGTCCAACCAAAGTGCCGCAGTGATGCTGGACGATCTCAGAGAGGGTGCGGGCATCCCATGTAGTTTCAGTGAGCCAATCGGGAAGCTCGCATAGATTAAACCTCTCTCCCAACATCAACCTCACACGCCAACTTACCACGCAGGATCTGACCATTGTGCTGAGCAAAGCGGACGATCTGTTCAGCCTGGGTAAAGTTGAACACTCCGCGCTCAGACTCGGTGAACATCTAGACACGAAGTAAGAAACTGCTGCCTCTCAACGCAGATGTGGGTATAACAACGTACCCATTTCATTGTGTTCGACTAAGTCGCAAGGAAGATTAAGGAAACGTTTGACAAGAGAAGAATACATCACTCACGGGAGTAATCTGACCAAACTCTGTGTTGTCCCTCAAGATGGCGACGTAAGGCTCGTCACTAAGCTCGCCGTTATCGGTGGCAGGGCCAAAGTAGAGCTTCCTAGCCATATGAGCGGCTTCATTGAGGTGGACCTTGGAGGTCGAGATAGGAAGACCAGCCGAGTTGGTCGGCGTGACCGCCGTCTACGAAGATGACCATATCAAAGTCTGAATCAATGTCAACAGTAGAGATCTGCTCACACTCGGGTGCGCTGGCAGATGCGGGGGCGGGAGAACGGCCTTCGCAGTCACGAAGGTAACGAGAGAAACAAGAGCAGTGAAAGAGGCAGACAACTTCATCTTCTACTTGTTGGAATGTGAGCACTTCGGAGGAGTACGAGAATCCAGACTCAAAATCGATCGCTATTTAAACAGTAGTGTTCGTGCCGTTTAATCAGGCTTTGAAGGGTGGAAATTGTGACTCTCGCTTGCGATAGAATACCAAGGATGTCCCTTAGGGCCCCTGGAATACAGAATCTTGGCAAGACTTTGACAAGACTTTTCAAAAACAAGCGCCTCGACGCGTCCTTAGAGTGGCGTGCGTTATTATCAGAAACCATTTACCCGAAAACATTGATAGATTCCAACAAATTCGTTGACCCCGCATAATCAAGGCAATGGTGCTGGGCAACGTTTAGGCACAGCGCGACAGGGTCGTACCCCACATACCTGGTAAACATTCGGTGTAGAATAAGATCATGATCTGCATGCATAAAAATCAGAATGTCGGAAAACAACATCATGATCAGAGCAGATGCGGAAGGTTTCTTGCCTGCGACAAGTTGACATTCCGTCGCCAAGCCATATTATGTTCCTCAAGAGTCACCATGCATTGCCCGACCTCTCCCGACGCAACCCCTGCCCAGTATCGCCCAGACCTTGATTTTGACGGCAATGGAGTTGCCAGAGTGTGGTTATCTTCCCCACATCTAGAGTTTAGCGACCAGAGCTTGGGGTATTTACAATGAAATACGGCGTACTACGCGATTGGAATCTGTGTAATGCATTCCAACGTGCACGAATAGTTATCTCGTAGATTGGTATCTGTGAAATGCACTCGAGCCTATGCGAGGGTCTATCTCTTCAGTCTTCCCTACTTATTGACCTTGTAAAGTTGCTGGCGTATAAGTAGCCGGCGCGGAGACGGCCAAGCCAAAGCATGCGATCCGAACTTTGCGTAAACCAGCTTATACCGAAGCTAACTCGTCGTAGAAAGCTTATACGGGCTGGAAATGGGTGCTGGGTAGTAGTAGACTGTAGTGGTTAGTGTCAAGAGGTACTTCGCTATTTGTATTTATTTTTGTAGTAATTGGAATTTATATGATTAACAAGAATATAAAACTAATAATTCTGTGGCGGCGCATCCAGGGGTGCTCGCTAATCCTTATATATGCACCCCAAATCCACTTGTGGAGGGTAGGGTACACCTCCCTTCAACATGAATGATCAGTAGAATCTTCTACGGCCAACCCATACCATGATATTGACGTTCTTTTTCAAGAGCTTCCAATTTCTGACAGAAACCCCCTTGCAACCTTCGAGTTTGAGTGTGCGAAGTTTTAACGCTTTCCGACCACGTATTTTGAATGCAAGGTCTAATTTTTTGGCAATGGTGCTAATAGCAGGACAAAACACCTTTTCCTTTAGGTCCCATCCTACGATTTGAAGGCTTCGCAAGGAAACGAAAGATCGACGAGGCCTTGTAGTCTTTGTACCCCATTCCATGGAAAATGCATCGAGGAAGCCAAAATAGGTTTTTGGCACTTTGATACGCCGCAATTTGGGGAGATCACCAAAGAGGGACCAGTCTTCTGCTGAGAGGCCAGGTGCTCCGGTTACATGCAGTGAAGTTAGCTGATTCAGCCGAAGTGATTCCAAGAAAGCATTCCTCCACGCAGGCAGGTATTCGTTTGGGAAAAGGCCTAAGTATGAATGAAACATGAATTGGAGGGTATCGGTTCGAAGTTTGCGCCCATGTGTCCGTGTCCGCAACGGCGTCGATAGGGCCCGGCGCGAGTGCCTCGACGTCGAGCACCAAATTCCGTTGATTGAAAGGTGACGGATGACGCCTTTCACCGCTTTCACGAGCGTTTTTCCAAGACCACGCACATGAGGAATATATCTTTCGAAATCATCAATTTCTCGATCGTCAAGTATTGTCGATATGAATGTGATGGATTTGATATTTCGAGGGAACGTAAGGTGATGGAAGAACACGGTAGCGGTCGGAAGCCAACATTGCACATTAAGTTTTTGCAGGAAGCGCAAATGGATAGGGGCTAGATTCACTGCGTACGGTGGTGTTAATCCCAGGTCCATATCCTCAAGACTATCATAGACTTTGAGCGTTTCGAGCAATGGAGTGTGCGAGAGTATATTCCAAAACCGAGTCATAGGGATCCTCATGTCCATCGAGAGGCGAGAGAGGTCGAGATATCGAAGGTTCCCGAAGGTGGAGAGCGTGACACTATCCAATGACATACGACATCCTTCGAGCGAGAGGTATTTAAGATGGGGAGATGATATCACTATTCCGGCTTGATCAATACTATCACGAAGCCTGGACACCCCGATGTCAAGATGTTCTATCCGAGATGCGTGCTGTAGAGGCCCAACAAGTCTCGACCACCTTCCCTCGACCAGGTGTTCCATTAAGCCGTCACTTCTAGCATCTGAATCCGCGTATTGAAGAACCAGCCGTCGAATGCGTGGCACGTATTTTGCGAGAAATTCCCCTGTCATCTCGTGGGAAGCGTCCTTGTTTGTAAGGAAGCCTACGGAAAGTGTGTCTTCAATCGCCAGTGGCAGAGAATGTGAACGACATAGTAGCCTCTCCTCTCTCTGTTCACTGGGCCAGTAGAGGCATATGTTGGTCCACAAAGCCGGGTTCATCAATGCCACCTCGCGCCAATGCGAACATACATGGGGTATAGCTTTAGCCCAAGCGCATTTCACCGAGTAGACCGAGCCCCAGTCCCGGTCCAATTGCAAGTCCCAGTCCCAGTCATCTCTATGTGAGGAGTCGACCACCATCTTGAAGATAATGCTGAGGACCTCTACAGGTAATCGACAGGCAGAAGAGAGGGTGTTATAGAGTCTATTGTAGTAGCGAATGATAGATCCATCGTGATGATTTTTGACGGTCGCCTTGATGTATTCTTGAGCTGTAGTCCTGCTGGCGAGAGTTTCACACGGTAAAGTCCCAAGTTTAGGATCCCTGTAGTAGGATGGTTCCACGTCTGGTATCGCTCATGTGAGAGGTGAATTGTCGAATGTGGAGCAGCTCTTACCCATGTAAAGATGTGTATCGCGTCTACACCAGCGTTGGAAAGAGTATAAGACAAAGCCTGAGAGTTGTGGCCAATTGCCACACTGGTCACGGTTAACTGAAAGCGCTTGTACGCCATCCTTTCTAAAGGAGAAAGCGTCTCCATGGTTTCTTGTACTCAAGTCGAAAGCGCTACTACGAGGCTCCACGGCATTTGGAGTGAATAGAACGATTCACGAGAGACCCGCAGGCCAAACGTTGGAGTCCTCGGATGTAGGCTAGTAGCGTGTCTGGTGAAGGAAAAGATGAGGCGTCGAATATTTTCGGGGATGCTGAAGATGTCAAGGATGGTGGTGGGCCCGAATTCGAAGCCAGCTGCCAGTGGAACTGGTGATATCGAGCTCCCGAACAGCGAATTCGCATCAAATAGACAGTAGAATGGGTTATTCAAAGATCGATTGAAAGGAAGACGAGAAAGACGCGACTTGAAATTGCAGAAGAAAGGCGATAGAAAAGTAAAAGAGGACTGCCCGCATACTTATCATACACCGAACGGGAATCGAACCCGTGCCGCTTGCTTACCAAACCCAACCAAGCTTTTTATGGAAGGCAAGCATGATAACCACTTCACCATCGGTGTGTTGCTGCCTTGTGGGACCAGAATATCAAACCGCGTATCCGCCGTCATGGACCAGAAAAGACGCGAGTTTCGACGTTGAATTCGACGGACGAACGCAGCGAGGGAGAATACATACACGTAAATAAATTTGCGGAGGTGGGACGGAGGGCACAGCAAAGTCGATCAGATCCCATGTTTGTTTCCGCATCGGGCATTGCTCAGGTCGGCCTTGCTCTTCCTCTTGCTCTTACTCTCCCCGTGCATGGACTAGATGGAATACACGCCCTACTCCGACTCCCCGCAGCGACCCACGATCGACTACGACTACAACTACGATCCCTCTGCGCGGCCTGCTAGTACCTTTGATCCTTATGCAGATCTTGTAATAGACGACCCTCAGCCCAGCGTGCAGCGCGAGGCATGGTCGACCCAACCCCAACCCCAAGCACAATCAGAGCTGCTGCCTCGACGCCGCACGCCGTCTCCTCTCCCTCCTCCTCCTACCCAAAATCCAAATCTCACCCCAGCCCCAGCCCCAGACCCAACTCCAACCCCAAGCGCACCCACCCCCGAATACCTCGAACAGTCCGCCCGCCCCTCGACGCGTCTCGCGGCGCCGACGGCGTTGCGCAAGCTGCTGATTCTCGATCTGAACGGGACGCTGGTGTACCGGACCCCGCATGCTCGAAGGGAGTTTAAGCCTCGTGTGCGGGGGCGGCATGCACATGCGCACGGACACGCGCATGGGCACGGGGTACAGCGCAGTTACTTGCATGAGCACGGGGTACAGCGCAGTTACGTGCATGAACACGGGCATGGGCACGGACATGGACATTATCCTCACGAGAGGGAGCACTATCCCTATCACCCCCACGACGCACCTCCCACCCAGTTCCAATTTCAACACCGTGACCATCCTCAGGCAGGTTACGCTCCAACGGACCCACCATACGGATACGGATACGCATATACTCAGGAACGCTACTACCCCCCACACACTAATTCAGAATCCCACTCGCACTCGCCGTATCTCCCCCAGCACCCTACTCCTCCCAACCCAATTCTGTTCACCGACCCCACGCCCGCCGCCCCTGCCGCTGCCCCGGGCCCCCGCCTCCCGAACCTGCGCAACGTCTACCCTAGGCCATACATGTCCGTCTTCCGGTCGTACCTCTTCCACCCCGCCACCCGCTTGTGGCTCGACACGATGGTCTGGAGCTCCGCGCAGCCGCACAGCGTCGCGGACATGGTGGAGAAGTGTTTCGGCGAGCGGAGGGAGGAGCTCGTCGCGGTGTGGGCTAGGGATACGCTTGGGTTGGGGGAGAGCGAGTATCGTGAGTTGATTCTATGTATCATGTTCGAGATGGATGGATGTGCTAACGGGACGTTGTGTAGATAAGAAAACGCAAACTACAAAAGACCTCGCGAGGCCCTGGTCGAAGCTGAGCATCCCGTCCTCCTTGCCCCCTTCCACGCCCACGCCCTCGTCCACCTCTCCAACCCCATCCCGAATCCCAACGCCAACCCCACAAGCCCACTCGGCACTGAGCACCCTCCTCCTCGACGACTCGCCCCTCAAGGCGCACCTCCAGCCGTGGAACCACCTCTGCATACGCGAGTACACCGCCGCGCAGCGCCAGGCGGACCTCAAGTGTGCCGAGCGCGAGAGGATGGTACGGGAGCGCGAGGCGCAGGCGCAGGCGGCGGATGTGGCTGTGGCTGTGGCTGATGTGGAAGTCGAGGTCGGTGCGGGTGTGGGTACGGACGCGGGTGCGACGGCCGACGCCATTCCTGGGTTTTCCTCCACACCACAACCGCAACCACAATTCCACCTGCACCCACCAGCACCAGACTCGCCCCCGCCCCAAATCCACAGCCGATCCCCAACCCTCCCACCGACCTCCCCACCGACCTCGCCGTCCCTCTTACCCCAACCCCAGTCTCCCCTCGTCGCCCCTACCCAATTCCCCACCCACTCCCCATCCCTCTCCCCCCTTCTCGCCCCGACCGCCCCCACGGTCCCCACGGCCCCCACCCCCGCGCCCCCCGCCAAAAAACGCAAACGCAACAAACCCAAGCCCCCGAAGCCCCTCCCGGAGCTCAGCGACCCCCTCGCGCTCGGGCGGGGCGGGTACGACGCGCTCCTGCTCGCGATCATCGGGGTGCTGGAGGCTGTCAAGTGGGAGGGGAACGTCGCGGGGTGGGTGCGTGGGGGTGGGTTAAGGGGTGTGCGTGGGGGTGTGCGTGGGGAGGGGAACGAGGGGGAGGGGAACGAGGGGATGGGGGAGCAGGGGGAGGGAACGGAGGAGAGTGACGGGAACGATGGTGGTGGTGGTGGTGGTGGAGTTAGTGACGAGGCGCACGAGAAACGTCGTAGACTGTCTGGATCACAAGAGAGAGACGGGGAGGCTAGCACGAGGGACGTGGAAGCCGACTCAGACCCCGACGACGCCCTCGAGCCCAAGCCCAAGCACAAGCACGCGAATACAAACGAGGATGCCCCAATTCCAGATGGAACCGCCGAGGCAAACACAGACCCCGACGACCCGGACCCCCTGGCGTCCCAATGGTTCTCCGACCCCGCCGTCCTCCGCTCCTGGGCGCTCGCTGGCGCGCGCGCGTGCGAGGCGCTGGGGATCGAGGTCGTGAGTGGGGTGGTGGCGTGAAGGCTCGGGGGCGGCGTGGTGGGGGTAGAGACGATGAGGAGTAGGATGAGGGTGAGGGTGAGGGTGAGGAAGAGATGAGGACGAGGACGAGGCCTGGGCGGCGGGACACGCTGGCCATGGAGCTCAGGCTTACTCTCAGGTTCACGCTGCGGGACCCCGCCGTTCGTGCGCAAACCTTCCTGAATACTACCACGATCGATTCACGCATTGTCGAACAAAAACACACTTCTTGGAACTCAACTCGAAGCTCGAAGCTCCGTGCGCCGCACTCCGCACTTGTACATCTTAGATCTTAGATTGAAGGATGGACGGATTGAGAGGCTGGCCGCTGGTTTTACTTTTTCTTTGGACTGCATCCTCGGGTTTCTAGCTGGGCTCAACTTGGATGACTT